AAGCCTATCTGATGTGTGATTTGTCTGTCTTTAAAACAGTTTAGTATCTTCCGTGTTAATTCTACAACTTTAAAATGAATGACAGATTTTTTTTATGATGTTATAGCTGTTTAAATCAAATAAAACTTTAAGTGCTGTATAAAATGCGGTCGGCTCGGACTTTTTTGAGTCGGGTGCGCAACTTTCACTGATACTTTCACTACACTACTACATTTTTTCTAACAAACAAACAAAATGAACCTTTGCTACAATCAAACTGCAGGACTTTTGGACTTTGAATTATAGGGAATGACAACACAGGCGTTTGAAATCACTGAATTAATCGTTATAGACCAAACATATATTCCAGCATGTCATTAAACACACGTTGCTGCACACTGATCTGCTCCAACTCCAACTTTCCAAGCAGAGGATGCATTTAACTGGTACCCTACTGAAGCATGCAGAAACAACTTTTAAGCATATTAAAATACACTCTAATCAGCTGAATAAATAAATAATGTCACGTTCACGCTTAAATAGATTTTTGCACAAATGTAATTAAAGCATAAAGTCAGTCTAGAGTTGGACAAACCGTATGCAAACACTTTTTTGTTTTCTAGTCAAAGTGCGCCCGCCGGGTCTTCTGCAGCCAGAGAATAAATCATGTTAGAAAGATACACTTTGAAATGTGCAAAACTCTGCCAGTCCTTCAATTAGTAAAGCAAATTGTCTCGACACGTTTCCCTACTGAATCGGTCACCAGTTGCTCTGCAGTGGGCGCTTCGTTCACGCTGCACGCTCACGGTGTCCCCGACGCTCACAGGCGCGCGCCTCCGACAGCGACCGACAACAGGGAGATAATGTAGTGGGGTCTGCAGGGCTACCACAATGGGAGGAGTATGAAAGTTACCCCGAGCCCTGCCCACCAACTGCAAAACATATAAGACGCTGGAGTGAAGCAAAAAGCAGGCACATAAGCCTTAAATCTGGATGAAAAGACCGACTAAAGACCAAAAACTTCACCATAACGCACTGCTTCTGTCAGTTATTTAAGGTTTTTATCATTATGACCTCACAGGCATTTAATTGACATATCTTGAATGTTTTTATCATGTGATATGGATATACAAGAACCTTATTGATTTTTTTTTTCCTTCCAAAAATACAACAACTAAACAGACTTTGTTAAAAAGTGAAGATTTCTTTTTGTGTTTTTTGTTTTTTGTGTAGAAAATTTGTCACAATGGCACTGGACACTGAGTTTGGTGTGAAGGGCAGCAACTCATACAGGGAATGGAGTGGACAGGTCCAGCCCGCTCTGGTTGCCTCCTTCGTTTTCTCTTCTGTCCTGGAAGCCTGTCTGTGGGTCAGGAACCTCCGGCTCAAGAGAAGACTGCCGGGACCCTTCCGCCTGGCTGTGGTGGGCAACCGCATGCAGCTGGGCCAGATGCCCACATCACCTTTGCCAAGCTAGCCAAAAAGTACGGCAACGTGTACCAGATACGACTAGGCTGCAGTGATATTGTGGTTCTGAATGGAAGACAGGGCTATACCGTCAGGCTCTCATACAGCACAGCACAGGAGTTTGCAGGCAGACCCGCAAAAAAACTTTGTCTCTTTCCAGATGATCTCTGGAGGCAGAAGTATGACATTTACTAATTACGGCAAACAGTGGAAAGCGCACAGGAAAATAGCCCAGTCCACCCTCAGAGCCTTTTCCTCTGCGAACAGTCAGACCAAACAAGCCTTTGAGCAACATATTACAGCCGAGGCCATGGAACTGGTGCAGGCATTTTTGCGCCACAGCACTGATGGGCGGTACTTTGACCCTGCTCATGAATTTACAGTAGCTGCTGCTAATATTGTGTGTGCTCTCTGCTTTGGGAGGCGATATGGACATGAGGACCTGGAGTTCAGGACCCTGTTAAAAAAGGTGAACAAGTTTGGAGAGACAGTAGGGGCAGGTAGCTTGGTAGATGTCATGCCCTGGCTTCAGTCCTTCCCTAACCCAGTCCGCAGTGTCTATGAAAACTTCAAAAATCTCAATGAGGAGTTTTTTGCCTTTGTGAAAGATAAAGTGGTGCAGCACAGAGAGTCTTTCAACCCTGATGTGACCCGGGACATGAGCGACGCCATCATCAATGTGATCGAACACGGGAAGGACAGCGGACTGACCAAAGAGTTTGTCGAAGCAACAGTCACAGATCTGATTGGAGCAGGTCAGGACACCGTGTCAACTGTCATGCAGTGGATCATCTTGCTTCTGGTCAAACACCCAGACATGCAAGCCAAACTTCATGAGCTCATAGACAAAGTAGTAGGCCAAGACAGACTGCCATCAGTTGAGGACAGATGCAGCCTGGCATACCTGGATGCCTTCATCTACGAGACCATGCGCTTCACCAGCTTTGTACCCGTCACCATCCCACACTCCACAACCTCAGACGTTACTATTGAAGGTCTCCACATTCCCAAAGACACAGTGGTCTTCATCAATCAGTGGTCTGTCAACCATGACCCTCTGAAGTGGAAGGATCCACATATCTTTGACCCCTCACGCTTCCTTGATGAAAACGGGGCCCTCGATAAGGACATAACCAACGGCGTAATGATTTTCTCACTGGGTAAAAGACGCTGCATCGGTGACCAGATTGCCAAGGTGGAGGTGTTTTTATTCACAGCCACCTTGCTGCACCAGTGTAGCTTTGAGAGTGACCCCTCTGAGTCCCTCACTCTTGATTGCTCCTACGGGCTCACGCTGAAACCTCTCCGATTCTGTATCTGTGCTAAGCTCAGGGGAAAGCTGCTTAGCTTAGTTTCCCCAGCATGAACAGCATGTCCCAGTACTGTGGCCCAAGGCCAGCAAACACTTTCCCACCAATGACATTTAACAGTGAGTATCAACATACAATACCTGCACTAAATCCTACTGTTGCCAGATTTTCATATTTAAAAATGATATTTAATGGATATCTTCACATGGACTGTATTTGAAGTATTGTTGGAGCTGATTTAAAATATATAATGGTAACTGCAGGTAGAATTCAAGATTGTGGACTGTTAGGATCAGGGCAAAAGTATTAAATTTCTGCTTCTCAAAATACTCTATACTTGATTAGATTTTGTACATAAATCCACATTTGAGCATGTACATGTATGATGTGTGTGTGGGATTTAGCTACTTACTTTAAATGTCAATTTAAACTAATATAACTGTGTATGAAATTCTTGTGAATGTTATAAAGCCACTTGATGACTCATTGTTCTCAATTGTGATATGTAAGAATATATTTAACCTTTGCCACGTAAAGCAGTTATAAAATATTTTTTTATAATTTCATATTTCAGGTATGACAAATGTAATGAAATGTTATGTAATTCACTATCTACTGTACTCAAAGCATATGAACACATTAAACAAATAATGCTGATCAAAGTGTAAAAAGAAAAAGCTGGCATGTTCGTGAAGGAGGAATTCTTTCATCAAGGGACAACCATCACAGTCTTAAGGATGAAGAAGAGACATTGCCATGAACCATGAAGACGTCACAAACGTTATGCACCCAGGGTTCAGTTTTACTGTACAAGCACTGCAGCTATCCAATGTCAAACACACAAGTCTCATCACTACAACAAAAACACATGTGCAGCAAATTTCTGTCACTCAAGAGGCATTCTCAAAAACATGTTTGTTTACAAAGTAACTTTGTCAAAGCTACATAGATGTCACTGCACTCTCTTTAAGCCTCTGCATTCAGGAATTGATGTTACAATACACGAGGGATGTGTTCCTCTGCCTGTGTCAAGGCAACAAATTAAAGTCAGGCAGCCTTGGAGGTTTAAGCATTCATCATAGCAGATATCTTGTTATGAATGTGTTGACTTTATATAATGGAAAAGTTGAAAAATAAGCTATATCTGAAATTAATAAAGTGAAATGTCAATGGTCTATGTGTCCAGTGTAATTGTCAATTTAGAGGAAACTAAAATCTCACAATATTCCTTTAAACCACTAAGCCTGGTGTATATCTCTATCTATAAACTTCTTTCTCAGTCTCAAAGTTCTTTTTAGCTAGTGTATGTGATATTAAGCACCACCATTGTTTAGGTGTCTGTCATTACTCATTGTTACAAAAATAGAAACCTCTGGAATATTTTTCTTGTGGCTGAATATCACTTAAACCCAAGCTGATGTTTTTTTAAGTTCTTCCTTTTGTTACACAAGCACCCACACAAGCAGATTTATAGCTAAACTTCTCTCATCTGAATTCTCTTTAAAACTATTTAGATGTAGCCACAACCCTAACAGCTACATTATCTCAGTGACCTTTGTTTAAAGGGTTATTATTCCAACAATAACATTGTATATATTTTTTTATAGAACATAATAAATCCTGCTGTTTGTATCTGTTCAGTGTTTGTATCTGAAACCCACAGCTTTCATGGTGATATCCCAGAGCCTTTTTCCCTGTATGGTTATAATTAACAGCTTGGCTGTAAATAACAGAAACCAAGTCATGTTTAAAATGGCCACGGAAAGTCCATAGGAAACAGCAAAGTCACCTACCCCGGTGGAAAAAACAATCAGCTCCAGCTTATTGTCCATTACTTTCACTATATGCTACCACGCAGCCCGACTATCACATGCTACCAAATCATGCTACCATCATTTTTCAAATTTATAAATATATATATTAATATATGATATTTTCTGAACCCTTCAGGCCACATATGGTATGTCGAGTTGTTTATCTTTTAAAAATGGTCATGAATCTGTTATGTTCTTTGGCTATAAAACTGTAAATCTGTAGTTTTTGGCATCAGGGCCTATTAAGTAGCTGCTCTCCTTTTCCGTCATCCTGCAAGAGACGCTTCTGGCAGGAGGCCTGAGTGGGAATAGGACTAAGGTCTGCAGGCTGTGGTCAAAATGGGAGGGGAGAGATAATAAAAAACCTGAGTCGCTGACCCCTCCCACCATAGAGATACATATAAGCGAAGTGTTAAGGCTTGAACCTGATCGAGCCCTTCTCACTAGCTTCTGTAGAGGAAGGGTAAGACAGCATGTGAGTGCTGCTTGAAGTCCTTCTTTTTGGAATGGCTATTTTGTCAGTCTGATTATGATAGAGGATGAGAAGACAAATAATTTAAATGTATTTAATCCTGTGCAAAGAGGGACCACTTAAAACGGTTTCCCGTTTTTTGTGAAAACTGCCTTTTTATTGGACACAGTGGATGATAAACAAATTACAGGATAACACAATGGCTCAAATGGACGGAGAGTTTGGTATGAAGGGCAGCAGCATCATCAGGGAATGGAGTGGACAGGTCCAGCCCGCTCTGGTTGCCTCCTTCGTTTTTCTCTTCTGTCTGGAAGCCTGTCTGTGGGTCAGGAACCTCCGGCTCAAGAGAAGACTGCCGGGACCCTTCGCCTGGCCTGTGGTGGGCAACGCCATGCAGCTGGGCCAGATGCCTCACATCACCTTTGCCAAGCTAGCCAAAAAGTACGGCAACGTGTACCAGATACGACTAGGCTGCAGTGATATTGTGGTTCTGAATGGAGACAGGGCTATACGTCAGGCTCTCATACAGCACAGCACAGAGTTTGCAGGCAGACCAAACTTTGTCTCTTTCCAGACTGTCTCAGGGGGGAAAAGCATGACTTTCAGCAGTTACAGCAAACAGTGGAAGATGCACAGGAAAATTGCTCAATCAACGATCAGAGCATTCTCATCTGCCAACAGCCAGACCAAAAAAGCCTTTGAGCAGCAAATTGTGGCTGAAGCCACAGAGCTAGTTGAGATTTTCCTTAAACTCAGTGCTCAGGGCCAGCATTTCAACCCCGCTCACGAGCTGACAGTAGCTGCAGCTAATGTGATTTGTGCCTTATGCTTTGGAAAACGTTATGGACATGATGATGTTGAGTTTAGAGCCTTGTTACAAAAGGTAGATATGTTTGGACAGACAGTAGGGGCTGGCAGCTTGGTAGATGTGATGCCATGGCTTCAGTCTTTCCCTAATCCAGTCCGAAGGATGTTCAAGAACTTTAAAGTCCTGAACCAAGAGTTCTTTGGGTTTGTCCAGCACAAGGTGGAAGAGCACAGAGAGACATTTGATCAAGAAGTAATGAGGGATATGAGTGATGCCATTATTGGTGTCATTGACAAGGCTGACAGTGACAACGGACTCACCAAAGGCCACACAGAGGGGACTGTGTCAGATCTGATTGGTGCAGGTCTGGATACCGTCTCCACTGCTCTCCACTGGATTCTCCTTCTGCTGGCAAAACACCCTGAAATACAAACCAAACTCCATGAGCTCATTGACAAGGTGGTGGGGCGAAACAGGCTGCCATCTGTCGAGGACAGAAGCAGCCTGGCTTACCTGGACGCCTTCATCTACGAGACCATGCGCTTTACAAGCTTTGTCCCCGTCACCATTCCCCACTCGACAACCTCAGATGTCACTATCGAAGGTCTTCACATTCCCAAAGACATGGTGGTCTTCATCAATCAGTGGTCCATCAATCATGACCCCCTGATGTGGAAGGATCCACATATCTTTGACCCCTCACGCTTCCTGGATGAAAACGGCTCCCTAGACAAGGATCTCACCAACAATGTTATGATCTTCTCAGCGGGGAAGAGAAGATGTATTGGGGACCAGATTGCCAAAGTTGAGATATTTTTGTTCTTTGCAATTCTACTCCACCAGTGTAGCTTTGAGAAATGTGCCAATGAGGACCTGTCTTTAAACTGCTCCTATGGTTTAACACTGAAGCCTTTAGATTACAAGATCGCTGCCAAACTCAGGGGAGAATTACTTATAAGCCAATAAAAAATGTTTGACAGTGAGTTCTCCAATTAAAGAACAGCAATGCAATATAAGGTATGTGTTCTAAAATAAATATATATGTCTTGTATCACAGAGCAATAACATGTAATAAGCTTTAACCCAAATAAATACGAATGACAAGCCTTCTTACGTCTGCTGACATTTAAAATTGTTGCTGTTATTTCATTCAGTTACAAAATCTTCTAGTTTATGTATTAAAAGTAGCCACTTTGTAAATGACATTAGAAAGCATGAGTAATATTTGAACTCTGAAACAGAAATTCTACTCCTCAACTCTGAGAAAAAACTGACTCAACTGACTGAGAAAACCTAAATATATCTGCACTGCCTCTGCCACAACATGTAAGAAATAAAAAACTGTAATGAAAGCTTTGATGTGTTTGCCCAAAACCACAATTCATAATAAACCGTAAGTATGTATTGTTATTTATATGGAGGTATTTAGCGGAGTCCCCCTTAATTGCAATATAAACGGGTGGTGATGAATAAACTTTACTTTAAGCATTTTGTTTTTTCGCTGATGGGGAGAAATTATGAGCCAGCTGTGTGGTCTCAACTGAAACCTCTGAACAATCACTCACTCTGACACTCATTTCTCTTTGAGCTTATTGAACTTTCATGTTTGAACTTAATATAAATACAGTGTGCACGTCATCTACATTCATATAATCTTAAATCATATAATACTTTTGTATTCTGATAATAACTCATGTCACGTAACATATGTCTGAGAGCCACATATTTATGGTTATGGTTATACTGTCTTCATCCTTTAGTACACATAATACATCAATGTGCAACATGGTTTCTTAGGGATACTGCATTGTCTGAATAATAAGCTGTATAGAATCAATAAATTATGTTTTCAGTGTGACACAGTCTGTACTCTACTGATGAAAGCCTTGGATGTACAATAAACATTTTGCATTGATCTCTAACTGAATCTGTGGGTTGTATCAGTCAGAGCAACCAAACGCGCTGAGAATCACAGAGGCCAGAGAGGTCAAAGAGATAATAATAGATCTTGATGTCTGGTCTCAGTGTTGTTGTGAAAGATTAATATGGGTTACAGGCCCTGTATGCACTTGTTCCCCCCCGCAGCCACAAACTTCACTCATCAATATTTAACATGGAGCGTGCTGTACTTTTGACTGCTGTGTCATTTGTTCCTGTACGAATGAACGAAAGTTTCAGCCAAGTCAGTGTCATCTCCCATTTATCAATACACTGAGCAGTTTTTCATCCCTTTAACTGACATAAGTGATAAGCATTGTGAAGGAGTAAAGATTAGAGGTATAAGACATTACAATTTTGGCATTAGGAAGTAGGTCAAATCATGTTTAAGCTTCATGGAAAGGCACTATGAGCTAACTAAATCACCTTAACAAACACTAATACAGAGGGGGGTGCCGATAAGAACATCTTTTTAGTCAATTGTATACTTTATGCATATATAAAACAGCCCTAAAGAGGATAAATCATCCAATATTTAACAAAAAATATTGGAGAGTTGTCTAAAAACAATTAACAAACTAATAATATCACAGATATATCACCAGTATAATAGGATTTGCAGTCACAATCATATGAGCTCTATCTATTCCGATAAAGGCAATCAACAAACTTCCAAACATTCTTCCTCCTCGACTGACTTTCCTTATTTTGGGAAACCCAAAACCAACCAATGCTCAACATTTATCCTTGCTGTAAGTATGGTACATAAATATTAGTTTAAGTGTGGGTTGGCAGCTTATCATTTTCATCTCCCCTCTTACTTTTATCTCCCCTTCCTTGCCACATAGGAGTGTTTCGTCAATGAGCGGTCCTGTGCTCCACAGTCTACCTGTGTAGTTGCAGGAGCAGCACCGTGGCTAAACTCTGAGGGAGGCTTGTTTTCACTGAGTTTAAAACTGAGCAGGCTGAAGACATTCTGTACTGCAACAGGCTCTCTCTATCCCCCTCTCTCTCTCTCTCTCGTTTCTTTCTTTGCTCTGACACTGCAAGGACCCTCGGGGGAGGAATGGGCCGCCTAACCTCCCCAGTTTCCATCACTGCTTCCCAAAACATCCATGAAATGTGTCCAGCTGAAAGACTCCCTTTCACCCTGAGTCACCCGCTCCACATACCCCACAGCACCTCGACCTGCCGAGTTTCACTCCTTAAAGAAAAACAGAAAAGTGTACAGGCTGACAGTTCTTGAGTTCTGAGGTTATTCACATTCTGCACGTACACAGAGAGAGAGTGACCTCCCACAAGGTTCTCTCCGCTACCACCAGATACAGCTCAGCACTCAATCCAAAACCCCCTCTGCTCTGCTAGAGGTTAGACATGCAAACTGCAGTCACTGTTTGGTAGATGACACACAGTGAGGTAGAATTACTTGGAGGCAGACAAATGCAATTCTCCAGAAAATCCCTTCCACTGTCCACTGCCATCATCTGCTGAACACACAGCGGAACATTGTGTTTGAGCATTGGCTGGAAACGTCCTCATGTTCTTTCCCATAACGCCGCCCTCAACACCAACACACTGACCACAGCTACACTCTAAATCCAAAATGTTGCAGACAAATAGTATGTGTGTAATGTTGTGTGTGCTTCAAAAGCATCACAGATCAAGGCAGATCATTATTCATTCTGTTGCAAAAAAATAAAATGGCAATACTAGTAACCATTTTTCTTCGCATAACAAGAACAAATAGCCCATGG